GAAAAAAAAAATTCGTAAGGGTTCCGCGGAACCCAGTGTCTCGCCTACTTTTTCTGTTAATCACAGGCTCAACAAAAATGAGGAAGTAAATCAATAAAAATATTCCTCTTGATACTATCTTTTGATTGTAAGAAGGTTCTGTCCAAGTTTGGTTAACTGGAAGAAAACAAAATTTCCTTCTAGATACAAGCATTTGATCATAAACAAGCTCCCGTCCATGTTTGGTACAAATCCAAAATAGTATAAGAAAGTTATTAAAATTTTAAAAACTTTAACCACAGAGTGAATGTGTTGTTTCCTGGCAGAAAATCTAAGTCCATTTAAAAGTAAAATAAGGAAAAAATGGATTTATTTTTTTACAAAATTTACTTTTAGATACTAGCTTTTGATCATAAACAAGCTTCTGTCCAAGTTTGGTAAAAATCCAAAAAAGTATAAGAAAGTTATTAAAATTTTAAAAACTTTAACCACAGAGTGAATGTGTTGTTTCCTGGCAGAAAATCTAAGTCCATTTAAAAGTAAAATAAGGAAAAAATGGATTTATTTTTTTACAAAATTTACTTCTGGATAATATCTTATGATCAAAAACAAGCTTCTGTCCAAGTTTGGTACAAACCCAGGATAGTTTAAGAAAGTTATTAAAATTTTAAAAACTTTAACCACAGAGTGAATGTAATATTTCCCGGCAGAAAAACTAAGTCCAATATAAGTAAAATACGGAAAAAATGGAATTTTATTTTTACAAAATTTACCTCTGGATACTATCTTATGATCATAAACAAGCTTCTGTCCAAGTTTGGTAGAAATCCAGGATAGTTTAAGAAAGTTATTAAAATTTCAAAAACTTTAACCACAGAGTGAATATTTGTGGACGCCGCCGACGACGACGACGACGCCGACGGAATGTAGGATCGCTATGTCTCGCTTTTTCGACTTAAGTCGAAGGCTCGACAAAAACATAATGTCTTGTAACAATAAAGTTTACTTGATTGACTTTGCACAGTATTCCACCAAATCTACACCGTGATTAACTGAATCGAATCCCAAACGTTCTCGACAATTTCAAAATTATATTTAACCAAGTTTAACCAGTCCTTGACAAAATCTTACACTTTGACCTATTATAATCAGTTTTGTTCAAAAAACATTTAGAGTATAATATATGTAACTAGGTAGGATTGTTGGGTTCTTTAAACGTCCAGTGGAAAATGTTTCATACATATTCAAAACGATAAAAAACATATAATTTTATATAAAGTAGTCAGTAAATAAAAAGTAGGTTCAGAGTGAATGTGTCCGGATGAAGGGTGTTAAAGTAATAAGTTCACGAAGGGTTAAAAATGGCCCTAAGATTTTGATGTTTTTTAATCAGGTCAAAATATTACAAATTTAGCATTGAAATAGTTGTGATAGAACTATTGATACAAACGAACTTCTTTTTGGCACATCACATTAAAAATAACAAAGTAATGGCCTCTTAAGTATGCATTATTTGTATTTTAGCGTCAGTTTTGGTCAAATTTCAATAATTCTTAACAGTTCTTAACATATTTTACTTTGGTCGCCATCCCTGATCTAGAAATGTTTTGTGTCTAGGGATTCAATATCATCATTTGCAACTTTTGGCTACAGAACATTTTGGATCCTAGGTTGCGGCCAAGGTTTCCTCAAGCTTTTAGGTCCGAAAAATGAACAGACTCATCGTATTTTGACAATATATCCAAAATAAGCTGACTTTGAAGGCTAGAATGTACGCTTATGAAGAGATTTGTTTAACCTAGTAGTATGGCTTTGAAAATAGATCCATTTAAGAACCAAATTATGGCCATTTAGAAATTATATGATAAAGTTGAAATACAAGGCCATATTTGGCCTGAAGAGACAAAATGAAAAAAGAGGGTATATTGGATATACTCTCCTGGTTGTAGTGTAATCTGTTTGACATTAACGGTATCAATTATACTGCACCAGAAGCGCATTTGAGCAATTTCGACAATGAATCTCTATTCAGTGATGCTCGAGGCCAAAATATTTTCATGCCCAAGTACTGGCTACTGGGCTGATGGTACCATAGGGGTATTATTGTCCGACAGCAGAGGTATCAACCCAGTGGTAGTAATAACATTAACGGTTCCTATTTTATGTATGTAAATGTTTAACGATTAATGAATATTATTTTTTATAGACCTCTTTGTGTTTTCTTCTTTTTTATTTATTATCAAAATTCAACTCAAAATGATTGTTGATTTTCTACATAACTTCATATTCTGTAATCGATATGCCCGTTTTTTCGTGAGTTTTAATATCAGATTTTTACACAAAAAACACTTTCTTGTCAAATTACACGCCAGAGGAATGTTTTCAAGTTGTTAATATGCTATGTAATCATTGGCTCCTACTGCTCTAAAGAATCAATCAAATTTACAAATTATATCTATTCTAAAATCAAAATATTTATTTTGTTTCATTTGCACTAATTTCTGTTATGTTCATTTACACCTACAAATGAATACGAACAACTCATTTGGATAATACATCAAAGTCAGTTCTAAACCATGTTATTATCAAACTGAAAAAAATCTCAATTATCGCAAAAAACTGTAGAAATGTTGAAATCATTCTACAGTAGAGAGTTACATCACTTTTTGTAATCTTCTTAATGGCAAAGTAAAGACATCATACTCTCACAAATGCTAATATATGTCTTCAAAGCATTTTACAACAATAAATCATCATAAACCATCTCAAACATAAAACAGTTAGTTGTATTTAGAGCAGAGATCATACATGTATACTCTACTATTAATGATAATGCTCATCATCTTGCCCCAAACACATTCCCCGGTTGATATATAATAAGACGAACAGGGGAGGGTGGAGCAGGTACTTAATCGGCCGATTGTTTTTTGTATTCATATGGAGAAGATTTCATAGAAAACTTTCTCAAAGACAAAGAGAAAAAGAATCTTGCCAATTTCTTAAATTTCATGTTCAGATATATTGATGATGTCCTGTCATTCAATAGTCCACATTTTTGCGAATGCTTGCATCTCATATATCCAAGGGACCATGACTTTAAAGATAACACCAACACTAGAAGGTCTCCTTAATATCTTGATCTTTCTCTTAAAATTAGCAGAGATGGACGTCTGTTAACTAGGATATATGAAAGACAAGACGATGTAAGTTTTCTAATTGTAAACTTTCCAATTTTCAGCAGTTATGCCCCTTCCCCCAACGAATGGCGTATGATTTGTTAATTTAACGATTGTGTCAAATTCCCTTTTGTTATATTTCAATTGAGTATGGATTTACATGGTGAATAGTGAATGCACAGCAGATCATCATGTGCATATCCTATTTTAGACAGATTTAAATTATTTGCATGGTCTTTTTTTTATTTGTGGAACTTGTCCATTTCTGTCATTGAAAGCTACAATCGAAGTGACGTTAAAGGCTGTTCTTAAATAACGCACCTTTGGACACACTTCATGACCCGATACCGGTCTTTTTTTTCAAAAAAAGCGTAAACAAAATAGATTTTGGCACATTACTTGACCCCATTAAATACCATTACTTTCAAATAGCAATACTGTTATATAAAAAGTATTTTTACGATTAAAAGAGAAACTTACACAACGGACTTGGTGTGTACCATCGGCAAAATTGACAAAAACAGTAAACATTCTTGCAACTGTCTCAATGATAACAAGAAAATAACTTGTTACTTAAAGGAAAGGCTTACACAATCCCCAATAGATGGACAGAGGCCATCTGACAATATTCTATGTATGATCATTGTGCAATCTAAATTAGAAGCAACAGTAGTTAACCGATGATCAGATCTTAATAAAGTCTATAAACCCATGTAGAAGATACAAATATTGGTAAAAAAAATGGAATGAATCGAAATGACTCAAAAAGGAGCGATACCGGGTGCGTAGACAAGTAAACCGTCTGCTGCCATGCATGGTTCAACCACAGTCAAAATGTCACATGAAATAGGATATGCATGGATCAACACCCAGTCAAAATGTCATAATCAGGAATATGACACAATCTTTAAATTTACAGATTAAACGACTATTAGGGTATCCAAAGACCGAGAAAACTTGTCGTAAGTGAGTCAAGAAACATACACATTGTATCGGTCAAACAATTCGTGATGGTGATAGTAAAAACTTATGAAGTTTGGTGTCCAGTTGTTCTTCCTGATTAATTTGTTGCATCACTTTTTGTGTCAGGGGAACACCACTGTTAATAAAGTCCGTATTATCTATTTTATAAGCATAACGTATTAATTTATACATGTAAACGTCAAACGATGGGGCAAAGGATATATTACTGCTAGAAAACTTAAAATTTGAAATCATCTCGTTAATTTAGGATTGAAATGCTTTTGAACTTCGTGTTTGATTTGGTACTCCAAATTTTTTTTATTCGAATGCCTCTGATGAGTCTTAGACAAAAAGCTCGTCAGGCGTTACAAATTATAAGCCTGGTATATTTGATTAAAATTTTTTATCAGACATTCTAGTTTGGGTCGTCCATCTGTGTTAAAAACTAGAAAAAGATCAAGTCAGATATAAAGCAGACTTTCTAATTTCGGAATTACCCATAATCTAAGGTTCACTAAGATATACGATATGGAAGCAGTCACTGAAACAAGGGTTATCGAGTAACAGGACATCATCAAAATATCTGGAAGTGCAATTAAAGAACTTTCCAATATGTTTTATGTTTATCTTTAAAAAGGTTCTGTATGAATTTTTCTCAAATGAGTACAAAAAATAGGCGGTCAGTAGGGATGCAGAATTATTACTTATTGGAATACTGATTGTCTGTTGAAACTGACTGATCATGAAAACTGCGTTGAATATGATGTATGGCTATTTCACAGAATTTTCGTAACAAAACGGATACTTTTCAAAGAGGAACAAACAGCATTAGGTTGGATAACATGCACTTATTCCGATAGATTATAAATTGACTCGCCCTTGAAAAAAATTGATTTAGTTTTTAACAAAACATAAATATATAAAAATAAACCAATGTGTTACAACATAATTTAATGGTCATACAGCTCTCCTCGGCCAACTCATTTCGCTATTGTAAACTTTACTTAGATTCTCTGAAACACTATACTTAGATTCTTTGAAACACTATACTTAGATTCTCTGAAACAATGTATATTAGATTCTCTGAAACACTGTACTTAGATTCTCTGAGATCAAATATATCTCAAATCTCTCCATTTTATCATGCGCTACATTTCCTCTAATTCATGTAAGATATGGAGGTTAATTGCATCAACGCCTTCATCAACTTCATCCTTTACATCTTCAACATCTTCATCTGGGAGTTCGTCCAGTTCATTTACCTAAAAAATACATATTAAAGTAGAATTCGTGTTGTTCAATTTTTATTCTTCTGTGAAGTGTTTGTCAAATATTTAACAGGAAGGCCTTTCCTCAAAGGCGAACTCAACAGTTATGTACATTTCAAAATAAACAAACCTCACCAATTGAACCATATATCGGTGCCGAGATAGCCTTTTAATAAAACTATCATGTCTATAAGTCAAATATCTAAGCGAACCAATGACGTGCACAAAACAATATAGAACCCAATATGGTGGAAAGTATGAGAAAATTACTTTTCTATTGGAAATATCTATGCAAGATACAAACAGAAAAGCAACATGTGTTTGGGCAGAACTACGAACAATATAAGTATCAGTCTCTCTAAAGTATTGCATTCATATTGTTTAATGAATACTCATGCAACACTAATATAGGGCGCTTAATGTCAAAATAACGACACGATGTTGTTATAAAAGTAAAATTCTTGAAAAATACCACATACGTATGATGCATGATAAATATATCATAATCAATAAAACTGCAAAGATGACTACATTTTTTCCATATTAGTGCCATATTTACTATTTTTATACATTCCGATGCAACTAACAAGAATCTTTCACTATCATCTTCTTCATGGTGCAAGCATGCGTGCATTCAGAAGGCAAATTGTCATATAATTCCCCTTTCCAAGGACCATCACTCCAATTAATATTTCAATCAGCACTAATTTCATCTTCGCTAACCAAGGGTTACGATCCACTCCCTTCCTCTCCACCCTTGGCAGATTGAGCCAACATTTGTGATAACAATGTTGCGCCGTCTATCGGTAAAAACCGTTGATTAAAGTCACGCTCATTCCGAATAAATTATTTTTGACCAATGGTAGCACTTGAACCCTCTTTAGTGTGGAGGTGAAAAAACGGTAGCGCATAAAGTCTACAAACTTGGTGAAGCAGGAAACGAAAATATACCCTGACATTCCAACATTTGTGCATGAAACATACACAGGAACTTCTAATATCTGAATAAAAACATTTAAGTTGTCACAGAATATCGTCGTATGTTTAGGGATGTATAGACTTGTTGCACAATAAGCACGTGGTAATTGTTTACTTACATTTTCTACATTTACACATGATCATGTTATAGGTGCTTTTTGATTGGATGCAGCCAGTTACGACTGCAACCAATGAAAATCATTACCTTGTGTCTTCGAAATTCTATCTCAATCCGCCAAGGGTGGAGAGGAGGGGAGTGGATCGTAACCCTTGGCTAGCGAAGATGCACTAATTTATGAACAAGGAGATATTGATGCAAATCTTGCATATCTGTCTCATCAAAGTACATCAAAAGTTATAAAAAAGAGAGGGCATACAAGGTAATATCTCTGATAAATTTATATTTCCAAGGGCGATAACCAAACATTTTTTTTTTGTTATGTACATATTTTCAGCGAGATGGAAATACTTTTGATATAATCCTTTCACATAAATGTTATCATAATCTGTGTAACTGTAAGGTTGAAATCCCTATCCACGAAATTTTGCAAAATTTATATATCAATAAGGGACATAGATCCGATACAAATTTAATAGTTTTCAAATTGGATTGAAGCATTATAGATCATATATTAAACATTCTCACATTTATTATATTGATATCAATCAAGAGTTGAATAAGGCGGACAGATGGACAGACGACCGGCATTTCTATGTCGTCTGGACGTGCTTCGACGGCTCTTATTTGACATATGTAAACTTCTGAAATTAAGACCAACAATCTTGCACCTCAAATATTTTGTGGTAGCACATTTTTGTTCCTCCCTCAACTTGAATTGAACCTATGCGTCTAAGGTACAGTAGCAAGATCACCTGTACTGTGCCAAGCGCCCTAAAATACTCGAACTACCACTTATATACAAATATAGTGTTCCTTCGTCGGCTATATCTAGGGTAGTAATACAGTACACCATGTATTTTGGCATGTAGATGGTACACTTTGAACATCAGCTGTTTTTCGTCTGTTGTACATTTTGTGTTGTAAGTAAAGGATGATGGCCCGAACCATGCAGTCACATCAATATCATTTTATTGTATGAGAAATTTACAACAGACGTTCTCCATCGGAAAAACTGATTATACAGTGCTAACACCACTAATAACATATACTTCACCTAAAATTCATTAAAATATATGATCTGCAAATTTGCGGTAGATATCTTTTTTATCCTTCTCCAAGTTGGATTTCAACCCATGATTCAATGCCATCGTGGCATTGGTTCAAATCCCTTTAAGTGATGAACAAAATTTTGCTACCACAAAGTTTGATGAATATGTTGATCGCAGTTGTCCCGTCGAGCTTGAAATAAATTATACTACACATACAACTATTCTGTTTAATGATGTTATAAGACATTTTGGGACTTAGAATCTGGTATAAGTAAACATAATATACTGGTAAATAGAATCAAACCAAATGCGGTATCCTCATTTGGTATTGTATCCAAAAGAGAACAATGCGTAATGTAAGTAAACAAACTTGTGAATAAAACATCATGCTGGTTAGTATTAATAATTAATATAAATTACCTGGTGAAAGAACGGAAGTGTTACCAAATAATAACTTGAACAAACCATCAATAAAGTATATCACATTAGTATTAGTCATTGTTTATTACTTTGTGTGAACTTCATCATACGAAATGTCTTGTGTTTATACTTCAAACAAACTTAATCGACTTACTTAGGGTGGATGACTTATGATCTTGTTACATGACTATGGAAAATACAAACGTATATACCGATTTTGGCTTGCACGTAGAAACGCATCAGTGATATCAGGCTTTGAAAACTGTTTCTGGAACCACATTTACCAGATACGCTCGAGACAAAACATATCAGAGCAACAAAAGCGAATAGAACTTAACTGTAACAACCAAAACTTCGTAAAGTTAACTTTGGTGAAAAACCATTGTTAAAAAAGACAAATTGGATGTGCAGAATTGCATTATTTGGTGATGATTCTGAGAAAGTTTCATTCAGTGCTGATAAGGAGAAAAGCGGATACAAATGTGTACTTTAGATGCAGATATGACAAAGTCCATGTCATTACAAATTAAACCCCCAAACTGATTCGGTTGACGAAATGAAATTGGTCTAAAAAGTCATCATATGAGCAAGATAGTCTGTGAAAGTTTCACAAAATTATGTCATGGTGTTCAGAATCAGTAGCGGATAGAAAAAATGTGGGATAGAAGGACGAACGGAAAAACGTTGAAGGTAGAATAAACTTCCATACACCTATTTGATATCATTCGAAAAGGCTTTGGCTAACTTTAAATTCAAATATCTTGCATTTACAAATTATTTTATTCCGCAACACAAAATTTGGCAGTCCACAGAATTACTTGTAACAATTTTTATTTTACCTTTAAAACATTGCTGTCATCCAACTCTTTTTCTGTTAGAATTACAGGATCTGGTTGCGTGGTATCAACTTCCACTGTAACTTTACCGTTAGGCAATACAATAAGAATTACTTTCGAAAATGCATTTTCTAAGGATCTCTGATATGCTAGCTTCTTACTTTTACAAATAGCCTTGGCCTTGCTTGTAGGGTCTGAAATTATAAATACAACAACTATAGATATTATAATTCATATAATAGTAAATAAAATCAGAGACAGAAATTTTGTTTTCATGCAACATAAAATTTTAATTTCAAATCAAAGACTGATTTAGGGTATTAATTGACTTAGATAAATATTCTATAGACCAATATCTTATTTTTACTTTAATTAGATTATTACAAAGTACACTTCTCGAATGAATCTCTTTTATGTGAAAGTAAGAAGCGAAAATACAAGTTGTTTCAAGACAATGTGTATAGTAAAGGCCAGGACCCATATAAATAACGGGTACATTCATTGAAAAATAAGATATTACAAAACATAAAAAACAATTCGGGTGAACTCAGTTAATCCGGAAGGGAAAGCAGTTCCTGCTTCACTAGTGGTATCCGTCTTGTTGCTCGTTGTAAGTAAAAACCTACCGATAAGCCACATTCGGTTATGTCATAAACGCGATAAGGAGGATGGAACATATCCATAGTCATTTACATAGATATTCCATAACGGACAACTAATTTATGATGACGTTCGTAAACATTACGACATCTTGGTTAAATAACTTCCTTGTAAGCAGAAACCATCTAAAGGAAGAACTGATATGAAACACAATCCCAGAAATAGAGTATCAATTGTCAGATAGTTATGCAATATTTATGTGCTGCTTGCATATTACTGCACTTTTGTCGCAAAGTTAAATTCTGGAAATCAAGATATGAATCAAATTGTATCTGTAGTACCCTTTATTTCAAAATCAAAGGGACAAATGCGATCAACATAATCACTAATCTTTGAATTGTTCAATGAAAAAAAATCCTCTATGAAGATATAGAAGTTAAAATTTCTTAATCCTTTTTGAAAATCCCTGTATGGAATATGCCTCATAGAAATGAAGGAATAAGTTGTTAAGAAGAGGAGCACAGTTGGTTCTCATAGCATTGCAGAATGGTGTTTAAAAATATGTCAATTAACCGTGTCAAATAAATAAACAAGCAAATGAATGATTTTTGTTAGCATAAGTGTGGTTTTATATGAAGCATGATCTGACTCTTCCTCGCTGTAACGTATTGCATTTTAACTGCCATCACTTATCGATTGTTTGGAGATCTGTTATAAGCAAAAAAATATGTTTAATGCATGAACATTTAAAAATATATTGAAATCTTGAAATAAATTCTAGGGCTGGTATTGTCTGCATGCTATTATAACACAGCTTTACAGGATGTTAATGGTAAATTAATTTTGTTTATGGATTTATCAGTCAAACTTGCATAGCGTTAAGCTTTAAAGCTTATGTATCCTTATCTTTACCCAAGACTGGTTTGCCATAGTTTTCAAGATATCTGAGTCAATTGATCAATGGCCCCAAGGTTAAGCTTATAAGTGACTTTATACCTTTTACTAGATATGTTTCTTCCCAGGCGCCCATTCCTTCAGAATTAAGGTGGTGACCAGTGATGTCAATTCTTGTCACACAAACATATCGAACTTTACGAAGATCATTACCGCTACTGTCTTCCTCGTTGTCTTCTATTAACTGTGTTATATATAAATTAATGTAAAATTCTATATAATTAGAAAAATGTATGTTTACTTTATGTCCATTATTACATTACGAGTCAGATAGAGACACTTAATGTGTTACCTTAAATACTTATTTGAAGAGGCTGCTACCTTGGGCTTATAAATGTAAACTTGACGAGACGACCAAAAATCAAATGTAAATATGCATAAAAAGGGAGGGGTGAGATATACGCCAATGGGGCACCAACCAAAGTAAAAACAAAAACCAAAAAAAAAGGCATCAAGAGATCAACATACCATCTTCAAAAATATAGAAGTGTATACAATATGTCAAGCTCTAAATCGCCGTTATTCTATAAAAGTTTTGAATAATTTTAACAGAGACTATTACATTTCTGCATTCATTATCAAGTTCCCTGAATGACAAAAAACCCAAACTTTAAGATATAACCAAAGACAACCACTCTCATTTACAAAGGAATATGAGCAGGTGGTTAAGGGGAGGGGTAGGTAAAGCTAGTTGTTTTGTAGATGTCTCATTCTAAATTATTATAGAATAACAGAAATGTAATTATAGCAGTAAATATCATTGATGTACCACTTTGGATGTCTGTATAACCATGATAATATGAAGACAGATTTGAAATAGATTAAAAATTGTTCAAGCATGAAAGGTAGGTCTCATTGAAGCCTAAATATTTTTGAAATATTTTATATCATTACTAGAAGGGGCATTAGCTAGGAATTAAACAAAAAATCAAATATGATTGTTTTATTTCAAACATTTATAAAAGCAGGATATAGAAATAATATTTAGCTATAAGAGGTCAGTTTTTGTTCAATTTCATCAAAATAAGCTAAAACATCGCTGATGTTCTATTGACCTGCAAATCAATAATTCAATCTCATTAGAATCCATATTCATGCAATCTTTAGGTTGAACTTTAGTTGAGATGGGCTACGCATGTGTTCAGCATATGGTTCATTCATTAAAAAGAAAACAATGTCAACATCGGAAAGTGTAACAAGGGAGACACAAGAAATGACAATTTTCTGACTGATCAGACCCACAAAAAATATTCTAATACAGGTAAAACAATGATATCATACATTTTAAATCTATAAATAACATTAAATCAAACAGTCATCTCGAAGGATAGTAAGATGGCGTCTAGTCTAAAATACGCACAAAATACTCATGGATTATAACGCGTCGTGACTCTACGTGCCTTAATACATATAATATTTCACTTAAATTACACTTATTAATGGTAAAATTTTCACAAGAAGCAATTAGTCGAATTCTATTGATAATGCATTAATTTATAATCCTAAGTTTCCAATAATAGGTTTTAGTTTAGGTCAAACTGAGGTAACTTTTACTAGAAATACTATTTATCATTAGACATATGACAAAAAAAAAAATGAATCATCTCTCAATATTCAGCCGTAGATATTACCTACAAGCATACTACGAATGAGCTACAAGCATACTAAGAATAAGCTACAATCATACTAAGAATAAGCAATTAGTATTTGAAGCATAAGATGCAATCATACTAAGAATGAGCTACAATGGTACTAAGAATAAGCTACACACTTACTAAGAATGAGCAACAAACATATTAAGAATGAGCTACAAAGATACTAAGAATGAGCTAAAATCATACTAAGAATAAGCTTTAAACATGGATTCATCATCGTTGTAACTATACTGTTTATTTATATCATTATTTATCATAATCATAATCACCATCAGTATTATTTTTATAATAATGATTATTTTTATCTTCCTGTCGTGCTTTTCTTAATATAAAAACCATAAAAAATAGAGAGCTGAGATTATCTTTGTCTTTGAAATCACTATCTTACTAATTTGTAATAGCATGTAAAGTTCTATATTCAGTTGAATATTTTATCGTACGTAAAATTCACACAGTGAACATGTGGTGATGAAGAATAAGATGTTATGTGTTTCGTGAATATTTTAAATCTGCAAGATTATGATTCAAGAAAATCCCCTGTGTATCATACTCTATTTATTATCCATGTTTACGATGTTTTAATCCTTCAAGTAAAACATTTAAAAAAAATTAAGGTAAACTTGAACTAAACAGTCAATTCTTTATTTTCAAATCTAAATATCAAATATGTATTTCAGAAATAATATTAAAAGCATGCTGTAAATAGAGCTATATGTATCATGAGTGCAAAAACCTTTTTATATCTACATACAAAACGTGTCTGTGTGGTGTTGTTTGAGTCGGGTTTATAACGATTTATACCTTCTGTAAATATAGACAATGCAATTTCCCGTAGGAGCTCTTTTGACGGCTAAAACAGTGCCACTTTTACTATGAAGTTTCGTAAATATTTTTATCCTGGAAAGGAAAGATCACATACACTACTATATTTTCCAAAGGTCAACCCATAGGGTTGTGCGGCATATTTTAAACATGAATAAGATGCGAACTTCTAAGAGTTTTAACCTACACTATAATTCTGTACTACCCCTCCCACTACTTTTTTTTTAAGTCTTCATGAGAATTCAATTTGACCGCTATCCAACTGCATTTATACTGGTAAAATTCCCAAGTTTTGTGTCTATGAGATGAATCATGGAGATCATATCTGGGAACCAGTAGGTAAACAAAATAAGATATCTATGAATATTAAATATCTCCCCAAAAGCGGCGTGGTTTGTGAATCAGCTGTATTTACAAAGTGCAGTCTCTAACATATCTTTTTGTTTCTATCTCCTATGGGTTTTTTCAAGGTATACATATAATGGTTGTTTGTTGTTAGTGTTTGTTTGTTATTTAAATATAAGTTTAATCGAAAACGAATTCCGCAAATGCTTTAGAAAAGGCACAGGTCAGACGAGAAATTTGGGAAGTTCGTCTGTTTTATTGTTACTCTCTTCTGATGGACTGACGGATTCAAAGTGGAAAAAAACCACGGATCACAATATTGCCGCTTACCGTCATGTTTTCATTATGTATACAATAGACGTTCAGTAAGCAACAATCAATCAATATTAATGTGTCACGTCACACGTAGAATTGTTAACAAGATGATTGTGAACAAAGATGGGTTGGATGCTGTAAACACGTTAACATGCACGTTGATTTAAAGAAGTCAAACTGCAAAGGATTTAATAATATGGCAAAAGTTCCAATGATCAAATTACCACTTAACCAAATGCCGATTCAATAGTAAGTAACTACCATCTACAAAACATGCCTTCGTTAGTCTTGTATGTTTTTTAATTTTAGTTCATTTATATGTTTTGGAGTTTAGTGTGACGTCCATTCTCACTGAACTAGTACACATTTTTGTTTAGGGACCAGCTGAAGCCCCAACCGGGTGCAGAATTTCTCGCTGTGTTGAAGACCCATTGGTGGCCTTCGGCTGTTTTCTGCTCTTTGGTCGGGTTGTTGTCGCTTTGACACATTCCCCATTTCCATTCACAATTGTATCTATACCCTAATGGGTAAATGCTGTGAAAGAAACCTGGCAGGCAAAATGTTGAAAATTTCAAAACTAACGGCTTACAATCAAGTCATTAAAATTACAAAATGTATTCCAGCTTATAAATCAATTAGTTCTTTTCAGATGTTTCAAAACAACAAAATTAATAGGACTGATACGCTATTTCATCTTCACTGAAATCTAAAATATTGTAGTTCTCAATTAATTTTCTGCTTATCATCCTTCAAAATTGCATTAATAGCGCATAAAACATAGATAATTTAATAATCTATAAACCAATGTGCATAACATTCAATTATCAGCAAACCTATATCAGTTCCAACAAATTTGTAATATGTTTTAGTTTTATCTCATATATGCGTAAGCTAATGATAAATTCAATACAGTCAACCTAATGTACTAGTACTAATTTTCATTATGAATGGACTCTCATCTCAAATTGAAATTTAATGCGACTCTACGCGTTTTTATAATTGTATCTTTTACTTTCCAATCGTTTGAATCGGAGTACTTTTGATGCAAATCGACTCAAGACAAGCGCTCCGAACGCAGCAGATTCATTTTTGGCTTAAGAATTGAAGTATTATTGTTCACAAGTAATGTTAAATGTTCGGCTTCGGATATTTTATCTTTTCCTAATTGTAAACCACATATCTTTCCTTTACAGCAAAATTAAAAAAGAAAACTTTCATTCGTCAGATGCTGAAAAGCGCTTCAGACGCATGAAATTTATAACGTGTTGTTTTCATTTTATTTTTCACACTTCTCAATAATTTAAATTAGGATTAAGAACTCTGGAATCATTATGGCAAGGGTAATATTCGATAACTTGGAAAATCTTTGTCATTAATTATCAGATATTCTGTAACATTGCCCCGGTATATTGTCCATGCAAAAGTAGTGTAATTACAAACTATTATATTGTTTCGATATCTCATTTCCACGCATTGGCATTGAGATACTTTTCAGTGAGTGCTCTTGTATATCTGTCCAAGCAATCTCATGTGTAACTCTTAGATTGTTCCGGTATCCCTGTCGATGCAATGATATTTGTGACTGTCAGGTGGTTCCGATTGTTCCCGTCCATGCAATGTTTGAGTTGCTCGGGTATCTTACGTCCATTCTGTGTAGTTTTAAACTGTTGTTTCGTAATAATTCCCCCTCCCCCGATGTGTTACAATTAAACGTTATGTTGCTCTCATATCCTCCATCTATGCAGTCTCACGTTCAAATATTACATTGATTAGTATCCTTGTCCATGAAAATTAGATCTTCGATGCACCTTCTCATCCACCATCTTCCCGTCCATGTTTTGACATTGATAACTGTTAAATTGCGCTGATATCCGGTTCCATCATTTTCATTTAAAAATATTAGTCGTTTCGTTTCATCATTAATTTTAGTATAATGAAGGACCTTTTTATCACATTTTTCAAAACAGCATCTTTCTTGGCAAAATATCTGAATAATCTTCGACGCGATATATCCTAATTCGACCAGGCAGCGTAAAGCAAAAATGTATTTTCCGTCTATGCATACAGTATCATACTTACTGGTTCAGTGCTCTGGGATTCCAACCCGTAGAGGGTCTTTTCTTATTTTTTCATACGTTTGCTTCGGAAGAGCATATGAGCTTTAATTTGAGCAACTAATATGAGTTTTATTAACCGGCTATTTCTGTACTGGTCCTTGTACAGATTCGAGATTTGCTGTATAGGCTGTATGGAGTTGAAGGTGATGGCATTATCAATGTTGCAATCACTACTTTTGTTTAAAGGGCAGTTTATTAATCACGATCATGCTCTCTTGATAAGTTACTATTACGTTATTTCATTGAAGAAACCAAAACAATTTTCAGACAAATGATAGTCAGAAAATACGTGATGAAATAGTTGACGACAGACATCACATGATGATAAATATATTGACAACAGACAGCAAAAAAAGATAAATACTATGACGACAGACAGAAACTATCATATATATTTTGATAGCAGACAGCAAAGGATGCAACCGCTGAATCACCATTGAGTTTGAAGTATGGTGATATAAAATGATAATTTTTAAAAAGATACGATATCTCCTGGCAATGCATTTGTCCCTGAATTCATCATTCCATTCTACATTAGATATCATTTCTAATTGTTAGACAGGTACGATATCTATTGACAGTTAAGTTTCATTGTGAATAGTTCCCAAGCTCCTGTATTCTCCGTTCATGCTACATTGTATATCATTTCTAATTGTTAGATAGGTACGATATCTACTGCCATTTCAGTTTCAGTGTGAACAGTTCTATTGCTTCTGTATTCTCCGTCCATTTCTAATTGTTTCCTAGGTACGATGTCTTCTGTCAGTAAAGTTTTATTATGAACAGTTCTATTGCTACTGTATTCTCCGTTCAAGTTACATTGTATATCATTTCTAATTGATAGATAGGTACGATATTTACTGTCAGTTAAGTTTCAGTGTGAATAATCGCATAGCCCCTGTAATCCCTCTGCATGTTGTGCCATTGTTAGATAAGTATGATAACTGCTGTCAGTAAAGTGTCATTGTAAACAGACTCATTTAACTTAAAATATCACGTTTAAACAAATTAGTTTGTATAAGTGGTCACTAAACCATGAAAGGACAACGGACATATGTCAGTCTGCAATTTCAGACCATCTGTAAGCAAGATATGGAATCTCAGGCTCTTCTACATTCTGACAGATGATTTTTTATACAAAATATTTTGCCATCGCCGAAGCCGGATTATAATCTCTAAATCTCGCAATCTGCAACACGACAAAAATTATTGACATAAATAAACTTATTCATGAACATTTTCTTTAAGACATTGTTGTAAGATCCTTGAACAGTCTTCATCTGTCCACAAATATTAATTGTATTTAATAGTATAATTTCTTATAAAATATATCACTCTACTCTAGCTCCTTTTTTTCATTTGTACCCTGTTTGTTGTCGACACTTCAGCTTTTCATTATACAAGGTTATATTTTTCTCTTCTTTTAATGATGTTTTTTTCAATGAATCCTTTTGAATGTTGCTGATTGATATCCTAGTCTTTAAGCTAAACATGGACACTAAAATAGTTTTCAATAAATGCAAGTACTCTTACGTTGATACTTTTTGTACCTTGTTATTTCTGAAGATGTTGTTGTCCTACGTAAGGATTCCATATCAATTAATTTTAGTTATTGTATTAGTTGAACTGTTTTCATGTTATACCATACTCCAAGTCTAAAAGATTGGTTCATTTTATCAAATGTTTTCTACACGACATATGAATATAAAAAAGAAAACTCTAAATTTTAAATGCATCGGTAGATTTTGCATAGAAATGATATATGCCTTACTCAATTACTCAATTATAGAAATTGTATAAGGTCAATTATATGTATTTAATTGATAACTTAACCATGCATCTTCATTTTGAAATATTTTACATTCCAATTTAAAAAAAATTGTATTGATATTTAATTAGCATAACCGGAAAGTAGAAAATAATGACAACTATGTTTTAAGAAGTATATAAATAATACATGCATACAATAGGATCTGGAAAAAAATTATTTGTCTCAAAAATTCAGCAGGAATAGGGTAGATATTTGGCAGTTAAACAACATGTACCGTGTAGGCCAAATCAAACGAAAACGTTTTGCCTGAAGTGGTTTGGAGTAGAGGATATTATATTTCACAACCAATAATGCATTGTACATTTTGATTGAATTTTAACTATCTTGTGTCCAACTGTCTATCATTCTGTCATTTCCTGTACAGACTACTTCCTTAACTCTATGATGAAACCGTCTGCTACAAATTGTCCTACACATGCACTTGCTGTAAGGCTTGAATGGCTAAAATTACATAATTTCTGAACCAGCTGCTATGGTAGTGAAGTTTTGAAAAGAAAATAATAATCAATATAAATTGAAGACAGGCAATACGCTGAACAAAGCAAAACGACAAAAAGACAAACAGCAGTCCACAAAATTCCTCTTGGAAAACTAATGATTGAGCAACACAAATGATTGAATAATTGTTTTTTTTTCTTAACGGGCAGTGAATGAGCAACATCAACTCACCTAAAAACTGCGATTGAGCTCAGATGCTGGAAAAAGTAAGTAGTTTCTGATTTACTGGTAACACCCTCATGTTGCACATGACAAGTAAAAATGCTGTGAGGAGGTTGGAATTTTGCCTACGACATATGGAACATATCAGTAGACAACTGTGGCACTAATTTATTGTAACGTCAACCAAATCGATCACCATATTTCAAGTCTTAAACTTTTTCCAAGTCTGTATTTGTATCAATTGTATCCTAAAGACAACGCACAGCTTCCTTTTAACATAATTTTGGTTTTGGTTAACGATGTCCTTCTTGTACAGTTTTGTGATAATTACTCAAAATTTGCCAAAATCTGATAAATTGTTTTGGGCTATCTTCAGGCGTTTATTATTTGGTGTTAAGAACCACACATAAGGCTGCGATACTATGAGTTGTCGTAAAGCTTGAAAGACTTTTTAATAATGGCCCTGGTGTGAAATAAATTCACGGGAAATTGGCTCCACCTCTTTTACTTACATATAAACAGTGGCGTTAACTGAATAAGATTTACAAACATGATAAAAAATTAAAAAAAAACTATTGAGATAACATCAAAATGAGTCTTTGTCTTTCGCTCAACCTTGCTCCTTACAGGAGCATTAGCTACAATTTTGGACAAAAAAAAATATATTTATTGTTTCAAACATTTATAAAGCGAATTTTTGAAATACTTTTTCGTTATTAGCAGTCAATTTGGTTCATTTTTGTCAAAATAAGCTCAAAAAGATCGCTGGTGTATTGTTATAAAATTGAGAATAGAAATGGGGAATGTGTCAAAGAGACAACAACCCGACTAAAGGTAAAATAAACAGCCAAAGGCCACCAATGGGTCTTCAACACAGCGAGAAAATCCCGCAGCCGGAGTCGGGGTTCAGCTGGTCCCTAAACAAAAATGTGTACTAGTTCAGTGAAAATGGACGTCATACTAAACTCCAAAACATATAAATGAACTAAAATTAAAAATCATACAAGACTAACAAAGGCCAGAGGCTCCTGACTTGGGACTTATACTTGCAAGTCAATAATTCAACCTCATTTGAATCCGTATTCCTGCTACCTTCGATTGACCCTTAGCGGGAGATGAATACGTATGTGGTGAGCATATTTATTTATTAACAAGAAAATATATTCAACATTGGAAAGTGAAACAAGGGAGCTACCAGGAAGAACAATTTCGTTGACCAGTTTTGATCCATAAAAAAATCCTTCTCATATAAACGATGATTTAGATTACCTTAACTGTATTTTGGGTCCTCAATGCTCTTTGACTTAGTACTATATTTGGCCTTTTAAACTGTTTTGATTCGAGCGTCACTAATGAGTCTCCTGTAGACGAAACACGCGTCTGGCGTACAAAATGTTCAGCCTGGTATCTATGATGAGTTTATTTACATTTTTTTTTTAAATCTTTGAGAAATTTGTTGTGTGGACTTTCATGGGCATTAACTGTCAAATTCCTCTTACAGATTTGACTAAAATTCTCATATTTGATGTATAACATACTAAAATGTATATCCAAGTTACAAAAAGTCCAAAAGAAACAATTAACAATATGAACTCGTTGTAGTGTATCAGCAGTTCGTGTATATTTTAGACTACAAATATATCAAAGTTTCAACAGATGAAGCGATAAAGCAAACGGTATATATTTTTAGTTGTATGAAATGAATGTCATATGTTGATAGCTACCACATTGATTTGAGTAAAATTTACAATGTTACAGAAATTTTTTCTCCGATGAATTGCACTCAAATATCACTTATTGAACATTTAAGAACGTTTTCACCGATTTTATGTGATACAAATGTAGAATTCAATCAGTAATATTTCAGAAAATAAAAGAGATAAATGCATTAATTTTTCAAATTTCCAGTAAAAGTTTAACGAGCCAAAGTTGTATGCAAACTTTTACCAAAATCTGTGACATAACCCATTTACTGTAACTTGACCTTAAAACAGTTGTGAATACATTAAATAATATAAGTAGGTTTTAGGGTTGTATAGATTTCTCAACGTACTATGGATTTTCAACATAATTTTGATTTCTTCTGGTAAAACAGTCGCTAAGGCACTCCTCTGGAACACAAAAACCCTTCGATATTTTCTTTTTTATATACGTCACTGTTTTAATACAAGTTGAAGAGGAATAACTCAGTATAATATACTTGCCAGTTTTATAGTCGTGGACCAGCCATTGAAGCCTAAGTAGTAATTTGCCAACTCTTGGCATTTAGAAAAGTGCAGTGTAGCTACCGTTTGTGCGTCTTTCTTCCTTTTGGCATAAGCTATCTACAATATAGAGAGATGCTTAATTTCTTAATATTTTGTGTTTTTATAAGATAATCTTCTATGTTTATTTCCGTCTATAAAATTCATTTATTATTACCTGTGACTATTTTTATGTAATTCTAAACCGCTGATTATAATGCTTAGATTTAAAAATTCAGTGGGAAATTAATATTGATAAAAATAGTTAAATTTGTTAATGAATAAATATTTTTATAAATAAATCTCCTTTTAATTGTCTTCACCTGAAAAATGCATATTTTTGAATCGTTTTGCAGGCGTGCTTGGTAACTTTGTTGTTGAAAATTGGTAGATTTCATGAAAATGTATGTGGCATCATGCTCAGGACTATCAGGAACACTCTTAAATTAATAAATGAACTTAATATATTTTGGGTATATAATAGTTACAGATTTTTCTAATCAATATGCAGCAAAGATTAACATCATCTGAAGAAGAAAAAAAAAGAGTTTCAAACTTTTGATGCTAACATTGAAAGTAAGACAATATGCGTTGCACTTATATTTTAAATGTATATATTATATTGTGGTTCCAAAATATCTTTTAATCAGAATGGTAAATGAAGTAAAGAAACTTTTTTAAAAATCTTAATCACAAAATTTATCAGTTTCCTTCTATTGTCCTTCACTCATTGGTTTATTAAGGTAGTCTCGATTATTCCATGTACCTCTATTTGCCTTAATGAATGAATGCCTTTATTTCTCATTAAACTGTAGTTTCATAGTTTTATATATATATAGAGAACATATCTAAACATGACTATAAGGTACAAATATTACTGGTGCATGTATGTGTGAGCAATACAATGAATTGACTTAATTATTCATAAATGGAAAGAAAACTTTATAGATTTAATGCGTCCGAAGCGCTTTTCTGGATTTACGTTACCTTTATAAGGAGTGCTCAAACCCAAAAATTCTATTCACATTAAATGTATATGCCAACATAAAAATTAAAATCCTTTGGTCTCAGACATGTATTTAAACTTTTTTTAACATGTTAATATTTGCTTCAAAATGCGCCTTTTCCCTAAACTGCTTATGTTTCAACTCCCCCAGGCAAAGTTGACCTAAGATGGATATGGTTTTTTTTTAAAGTACTTTTTGGTTATAAAGCTCTTGAACTGTTTTGGTTCTTATACATCCTCGGCTTTCAAATATTCGGCTCTGAGCGTTCCTGCATGATGAAGGTAAATCCAGAAAAGCACTTCGGACGCATGAAATTAATAACGTATTGTTTTCATTTTTTACAGCACTTGGTCGACACCTCTGCTGGTGGACTGTCAGTCCCCGAGGGTATCATCAGCTCAGTAGTCAGTACTTCGGTACAGACATGATTTATAACAAACTTTTCTAAAATTGTCCGTTTACAAATTTTAAAATTATAAAGAAACTAAGGTTTCAACTCCCTCAGGCAAAGTTGACCTGAGATGGGAGCGTTCCTGATGAAGGTAAATCCAGAAAAGCGCTTCGGACGCATGAAATTAATAACGTATTGTTTTCATTTTTATTGGTGTATTCCTGTGACACAGGGAGTATTGGGACGATGGAAAGCCTCCCAGTCGAAAATTTTTGTTTCAGTACATTGTTTCGTATTTTTCGACTGCGGTCCGTATAACATCTTTCTGTGTGTATCATCCGCTCATTAAAGCCAGAGTTTACTTGGTACTGGGATGATTAAAATACAACGTTTTGTTTGTAGTTCTCAGTTCGCAAAATAAACATATTGTGCTAATTCTAAGGTCGCAGTACCCTTGACTGTTCAATGTAGGTCCTTTTGGTTTGTATGCTGTCGAACGTTTTATATTGTTGGCTTTTCAAAATTATGGTCACGAGCGTCCCTGGTGAAAAAAAACCCTAATGATACGACATCCGTGTGCATATGATAACAAATGTTTCTGAAATAAGCTTGCTAACTTCTATGCCATGTGGTCTGTGGTAGAGAGTTGTCTCATTGGCAGTCAAACCACATCTTCTTATTTTTATATTCAGATACAAGTGACATATATCCGCATGAGCAAACGGGATAAAAAATATGACTACCATAGAACTTGTCTTTCCTGTCACATCTGCGCAGATGATTTGTTATGTGACTTTCGGTGTTATTGGGGCATTTAGATTTGTTAAAGAAAAAGCAAAAAGTACGAAAACTTCCGGCTCGAGACTTTGGCAGATATATGACTTTAATAAAAGGGGTCCTTAGGTCCGCCCCTGCGATGAGCAGCTACAGCCATAATAAAAGCCCTGTCACCACCCACACTTTCGCAACCTCCAACCATTATCCCTTCCTCAATGTCCATAAACATTTAAGGTGTCAGCAAATTTCAACAAAATAAAAAAAAAATTGAACCTTAATTTTCTCGAAAACAAGCGCGGTAAACTATGTTTTATTCATTGATTTTCTAAAATTCTATTTTTTTCATCGTTATCGTTCTAAATTGAAGCATAAGTCATTAAACCGGTTTCATCTCAAAATTTCAAAGACAATTTCAAACATACTAAGGATACAAAAAATTCCTGTTGATCATATCAGTCGTCAAAGCCAGAAGGTCGGGTAAAATACCATATGTTACTGTTTATAAAAATAAGAAGATATGGTATGATTGCTAATGAGACAACTCTCCACCAGAGACCAAATGACATAGAAGTTAACAACCATAGGTCACCATACGGCCTTCACCAATGAGCAAAACCCATACCGCATAGTCAGCTATAAAAGTCCCCGAAATGACAAATGTAAAACAATTCAAACGAGGAACTAACGGTCTGATTTAGGTACAAAACAATGAACGTTAAACAAATATGATATACAGCAACAAACGACAACCACTGAATTACAGGCTCCTGACTTGGGACAGGCTATACAGAATGTGGCGGGTTTAAACTAGTTTGTTGGCGCCAAACCCTCCTCTTACCTGGGATAGTGCTATACCAGTGCAAAATAAGAACAAACTATAAAAATCAGTTGAAAAAAGCTTAACTCATCAGATCGATACAAAGCAGAAAGACATCTAACAAAAACGCAGACCGGACGTGGCAGGGTATTTATACATCCCCACAACAAAAAAGACACGAAGTACAGATCTGAGAGTACTTGAAGTTACTGATAGCTAGTCCAAAGCCAATAAAAATTAATAAAAAAATCATGCATCTAAGACTTAAATATCAGTCAGTACACATCTAACATCCAATTAAATTAGTATAAAGACGTCATTAACAGTCCGAGAAAAACACGACCTTGTGCAATGCCAAGATACAGGTATCGACAGACTTTAGAGCCATGAAAGTGCATATGTATATTTTAATTTACTGATAACAAAATCAATATTAATACCAATAAATAGTTCTTTTAAACAAGATATCAGAAATGCAAAAGTCCCTCCAACAGACTATACCTACATTCTAAAAATAACGCAATTTATTACATGACCGGCATATGTATAGTTTTTGTACACGCACGTATCTAGCGGTTCAGGAATTTTTACCTTCTACCGAATGGTATTTTTCGCAAATACCCCCACCTGAACGTGATTTATCTGTTCAATATCATACATGTCTCTGGTCTACATTAATTTTGCATATATATACGAAAGAAAAATACCTTGCATTCTGTTCCTGCAATCGTTATCTTGTTAGATAGACTTTCCTTAGCAGAATGTGCTGCTATAACAGAATAAAATGTCACAAAAGCATAGTATCCCGCTACTTTTTCAGACTGATTGGATGTAGAGTAAGGATATATTTGTATTCCATTTATCAATCCATACACAGAAAACACAGAGTACAGATATTCCTGTAAAAAGATAATCATTGTTTCTTATTTTTCATGTGAGTTGGTTTCTAGTCGTCATAAGTCGAACGTTGTTAAAAATGGGTTCTTACGCTTGACTTTTCGAAATTCAATTTCAAAGAGAAACACTTCTGTAATTATACTGAAAATAAGGATTTAAAAGAGTGCTGGATTGATTTGTTTATCATTTAAGTTTTGTCGTATCCTCGTCAAACAACAGAATGACATATGTTTTAATCATAATGTCGGCCCTGTCGGTTAATTGTATCGAAATTCCGATAAGTTCTTAAAGATGGTCATTCATGGGACAATCTGAACGACGATTATTTTTCCTAATCAGTTCGACCATTTTTTCAAATGTTCTTTTCCAGTAAAACAAATCAAGAATTGGACACCATACCAAGCCTACATGTTATTGATAAAACTCCCTCACCGTTCGCTAGATTTGGTTTTTAAGATCAGCACCTACAAGTCCTTTCTATCTGATTGATAATTATCAGCTCTTTTTCTCCGAAATTTATTAAAACATTACATTAGTTACGTTAAATTCATATTTAAAAAAAAATATATACAACATAGGCTAGAAGCATAAAACAGATGACTAGACATGCTAGAGGCTCTAAAGAGCATGTGTCGCTCACCTCCTCTCCAACATTATAGCTAGAATATTATTTATGACTAAAATCTACTCTTTGTTTGTTGATTTTGTACATGTTTATGTTGTTTTACTGATCATTTTTTCTGTTTATGTTATCTCTCTATCTTCTGTATTTTTTGCCCAACACAAAAGAGTGTAAAACAATCGTCTTTTAAGGGTAATAACTCCTATAAGAAGTTGACTAACACTTATGGCCAGGTTGGTTAATTTATTTGTGGAAATTGTCTTGTTGATAATTTTCGGCTATTCAAATTTATTCATTATTATAGTTTTTTTAAATAAAAGGCAAAAGCGTAAAAAAAATATAATATAAATTGCCATTTAAGGACAATAACCCCTAAAGATGTCGATTTCAGCCATGATGACTTTTTTGTAGATCTTGTCTTGCTGATCTGTTTTGCTATTTAAAGCATATATCTATATATCTATTACAATTTTCAAGTTACTAGGGGAAAAAGTAAACAAAAATGGTTAAAATTGTCACCTTATAAAGGACACACTTTTTAAGATAATCGGCAAAAATTCCGATAACTTCTTATAGATGGTCATTCATGGGACATTCTGAATTCATGGGACAATCTGAACGACAATTATTTTTCCTAATCAGTTTGACCATTAGAAAAAAAAAATGGCAAAATCCGTCATATAAGGGCCATACTACAATTAGAAGAATAGAAGTCGTCTGCAAGGTTTGATGTAAATGACCAGTAAGAAATGTTAACATTCTTCACTTTTCTGTTACTGTCAGATTTTCTCTATCTATAGCGGTTTTCAAGATAATGACACAAATTGTATTATACCCATATATGTACTATTTTAGCCATGTCCGCCATGTTGGTTGGCGGGAAGGTTCGTCGGACACATTTTTAGACTACATTCACCAAGGATGATTGTCACTTGTAGCCAATTTTGGTTCCAATGTCCCAGTAATTTCGGAGAATATTTTTGTTAAAGTTACGACGACCAACAGGAACGATGACGACAACGACGACGGACGCCAAGTGATGAGAATAGCTCACTTGGCTCTTTGGGCCAGGTGAGCTAACTTTAAAATATAAACGAAACATATCTATGTGAGAAGGAGTTATCTTTCTTACAACGTATATCATCACGCATAAATGATGAATAAAGTGGTAGGGATATTGTTTTACAACAAACATTTGTATAAATTTACAATATCACAAACTCTATAAATCATTCGGAGTCTAAAAAAATGTGAATAAAATAAAATAAACTGAAACTATCAGTTTCTGGTAAACTGGGATTTGTAGGAAAGTAATTAGACAGTATTTTTACTCTGGCCTTTGACTTTATTACTGTGTTGGAGTGCTGCTGTCTTATTAATGTGTGAAATCACAAGACTGGGACAATATTAAATCACAATCACAAATCGAAAATAATTTTTTTTTACTATAAAGTTTGAACTCTATACTTGCATAATTATCTAATATTAAACATAAATAAATGGTTGTATAAATTGTGATGTTTATAGTTGAAAATCATAGATATCAAGGATTTATAGTTATACAAATCCTTGGTGATACCAGGTATGGAATATAGTAATAAAAACGATTTTTATTTCAGAATTAAGGGCTCCAAAAGGACATAACCATTTGACATGCCAATGCAATACCACCAATCAGTGGCGGATCCTGAAATTTTCAAAAAGGGGGGGGGGGGCACTGACTGCCTTAGAGGGGGCCTGCTCCATTCATGCTTCAGTGATTCTCTAAATAATCAACCAAATTTGTCCCACTCATGATATACATATAATCATAAATACTCATGATATACATATAATTGTCTAGCCAAGAAGGTTAGCATGTTTACTGTTCTTCTCGTGTAAACATCAAGTAGGTAGCAGTAAGTAGTATCAGGAACATATATATATGTTAGATATACTATTCCCAGGTAGTATTACACATGCATATGACACCAGGGGCTGATAGTGATACTTACAAGTGTATGTACATGTATACAGCCTTACAGGTGGTTGTCTGAATAATAATTTTTAAATGGTATAAATACCTGAACATCTTCTTCTGAACTGCCAGGTATGCTGTTTACATATAGATTCTTTCTGTTTCCTTCTGGTCTCTTGAAATCAATTATCTCAACACTACAAGACATAGTTTAATATACAATTGTCTATTTTTAAATCTCCCACTTTTACGGCGACACTAAATTAAGTACGATTACGGATTAGGAACAGTAATTTTCTGGTTGTGTCAAACTAACGCAAAGCGTAGATTAAACTTGTATATGTTTTGATAAATTGAAGAATTTTGTTTTTATCATCTTATGTATTAATATTTAAGTTTTTGTGATTTTGAAAATTGAATATATGCCTTCGTCTACTTAAATGCACGTATTTTTAATCGAGGTCTCCGTATACGATTTCTATTTTAATGTGAAAACAAAGATGTCAGCGCCCATGGCAGACACTTTTGTAAGGGAAATTGAGAAAAATAACGAAGAAGTAATAAAAATTCATCAACTTGAGATTGGAGATGTTGGTTGTGTGGTATGGGATGCTGCAATAGTACTGTCTAAATACTTCGAAACTGAAGATTTTCTCAAAGGACAACTTCTCAAAGAAAAGAATATTATAGAACTGGGAGCCGGTACCGGTGTAGTCGGGATAATAGCTTCTACATTCGGGTAACTTCAACGTTTAACTATCTATTTGCTTTACGGATTATTTCATATTAATAGCTTGTTTGAAAAAAAAACTGTCTTACTAACTATTTTATGATTTGTTGTCTTTTTTAATCTGAGTCTGAGACTACTGTACAGGCTGAATTTACAACATGTAGCTTCGATTGACTAGACATGCAGTAGACTGGTCGAAAAAGTCGGTGATTTGAAGGGGAGATAGTTATTTAGTGGGGCATTTGTCGCATGGTTTTATGACTGTACTGACTCGCAGTGTTGTTTATGATTGCTTTAGTAATATCAGCCCTTCAAACGGCATATGTCTTTATTTAAGCTGCCCAAGTGTTGCTTTGATTCACGACTGACCGAGTCAAGCCGCGGTCAGTTTTTATTAACGGAGGATGCCGGAGTGCCCGGACAGAACCACCGACCTTCGGCAGAAAACTGGCAATCCTAGTCAATTAAGACCGGAGTCGGACGCACTTTCTACGAGCTGGGTTCGAACTCACAACCTTGGTGTCGACAGGCTAGTGATTGCTGTGAGATGAACTACTTGTAAATCGAATACGAATACGAAAGTTTTATTTTGATTCGGTTCACATATAACATATTATTTTTTGTTTGTAATGAAGCAAAGATTAAAATTGGATCTAAAATGAGAATATTTATTATTACTTATGTGTATTGATTACACAATATAGATCTTGACATCTCACAATTATTTTATAACAAGACGCTCAAATCACTCTTTAAATCACGACGATAGGAAATTGACAGTTTCTTTCAAAATTAAGATGAATGCACGTGGGTTGCTGATCGACTTGCAAAACTTACTGGTAAACTCTGATCCTCCTAATAGTGTTTTATTTTCTGTTTGTAATGAAGCAATCTAAACTGAGAATAAGTATAATTACTTATGTATATTGATTACACAATACAGGTTCCAATATTTTATAATTATATTAAAACCAGACGCTTAAAATATTACAAATATCAGAATTAACTATCTGTTGTGTAACACATGTTTGTAGTTATAGAAATATTCAAAATCTTATTTTAGGGCAAATGTGACTATAACAGACTTGCCAGAGTTTAACCAGTTGATTAACATGAACATTGCAGAAAATAAACATCTTATTACAGGAAACGTTACAGCAAAAACATTAGTCTGGGGAACAGATATAATCACAGATCAAGCTTTTGATTATGTTTGTCTGGCTGATTGTATTTATTATGAACAGGTAATTTACATGTTAATTAAAACTTGTGAGTTACGTTTGTTTTGTGCATATCAGATTTGAACTGTCAAACTATTCATCTTTAAAACTATAAGATGTTTCATGTTAAAAAGTATTTATATATTGATTTAAAGGGGCCAATCTCCCCATAATTTATTTTACGCGAGTACCATGTTCAAAAGTTTCATAGTCACATGTGTATTTTTCCAGGTTCTAAAAAATAATTTGGCATTTCTTAACATGTGACCATTTTATAAATGGTTTAAACTGCAATGTTGGTACATTTAAGCAAATTTAAAGCATTTATTAAAAACCAATTAAAAAAAGTACATTCCCTATGAAAACCAAAATTCTATGGACATAGAGAGCTAGTAGACTATGTATTATTCTTGTCTCTCAGATAATGATTAATTTGGTTTTATAGCGGAAGTAAATATTGTTTTAAATATTAAAGACGCAGGTGAATCATTAAGATTTATTGAATAATCACGTTTGATGTCCGTGGGCTGTCTGTCATATACGATATAGTCACATCTATCCCATAAATATTCTTATGTGAGCTTGTCTATTATAGTTAACTCTGAAATGTGTAGAAATGATTAGTAAATCATTTGATAACGTTTTAAATATTACGTGACTAGCAGAGATACCAGAAGACCTGGTAAAATATTGGACAGTCAGCAGCTGAACATAAACATCTTTATTGTTGTAGCAGACACCTTTCTTACTTGAAATACTCTTACAATGTACATGACTGTTTTTGAACTTGATAACGCATCGATCAGAATAAAATATTCGATGTGGTGCGACTTTTAAGCACACCTGGCCCAAAGGACCAAATAAGATTTTTTCTTCACTTGGCGTCCGCCGTCGTTGTTCGTTAACTCTTACAAAAATCTTTTCTGAAACTACTGAGTCAAATTTAACCAAATTTGGCCACAATCATCATAAGGGTATTTAGTTTTTAAAAAATGTGTCCTATGACCCTGCCTGTCAACCAAAATGGCCGATATGGCTTAAAATGGAACATACATGTAGGAGTAAAATGCTAGTTGTGTCTATTATCTTAAAAACCGCTATAGATAGAGAAAATCTGACATGGACAGTATTGTTTACAATCTGGTGGCGTTGACAGTGTAAGCTATGTGTATAAAGCTTTATATTTCAGAAGGTAGAATCCCTGGATGCCTCATACCTTGTATGCAGATGGCTTATATTAAGAAGTTTCCGTCTGTCCTATGACCATTGTCCTTGACCTCATTTTCATGGATCAGCGACTGCTTGATAAAATTTAAAGCTTTTTTGTCATGTGAAATACTCACATATTATGATTAATAGAATTACTATATTTAGTATATGGGATCCTTGCAAGGTCTACATGTCCTTCAAACAGGGTTCACATGTCCTCGACCCCATTTCACGGACCAGTGATCAAGGTTAAAGTTTCGTTGACAAGTCAGTATCTCAGATACTATAAGCAATAGGGCCACTATATTTAATGAATGGAATGATTGTAAGGTGTACATGTCTGTCTGGCAGATTTCATCTGACTGACCTCAATTTCAGGGTTCATTAGTCAATGTTAAGTTTTCATGGTTATGTCTGTTTCTCAGATACTATAAGCAATCGGTTAACTATATTCGGTGTATAGTATGAAATTCAATCATGATAAGTAAAGCAGGCGAGACATTTTAGCGTGTGCACTAGTTTTCATTGATGCCTATTATCTTGAAAACTATAATAGAGAGAAAAGTTATCAGCAAAACAAGATCTACAACAAAGTCAACATGGCTGAAATCGTCTCCAACTCCTTATAGGAGTTATTGCCCTTTAATGATAATGACGATTTTTACCAATATTATGCGTTTTGCCTAAAATCTTGAAAACTATATCAGATAGATAAAAACTTGATATAGCAAAAATGACCAGCAATACAAAATCTACAATTTGGTCAACATAACCGTCAGTCGACTCCATATTAGAGTTAATTGTTCTTTAATGACGATTTTTACATTTTTTGCTTTATTGACTATTATATATATATATCTTGAAAACAATATAGATAGAGAGAATCTCTATTTTGCAAAAATGATCCACAAGACAAGATCTAAAAATAATAAGTGGATATTGCTGAAATCGTTGGTCAACTCTTTGTAAGAGTTAGTGTCCTTGAATGAAATTCTATACCATTTTATGCGTTTTTGACTTTTATCTGGAAAACTATAAAATATAAGTAGAAACTTTAAAAATAAAAAATGATAAAAAAAGATCTGCAAATAGATCAGCGCAGATGAAATACCAATTGTCTTCTTTAAGTAGTTATTGACCTTAAATGACGATTTTTTTTAACCCTTTTGTGTTTTTGGTAAAAATTTAGAAGAAAGAGAGAAACTGCCAACAGAAAAAAATGTCAGCAATACAAAATCAACACAAAAAAGATTTGAGTCATGAATTATATTGTATTAAATGTCTCTGATTGTATTCTACAATATTGGAGAGTGTCCATTGTTGAAGATAGTCATAGACCTAGTACTTGGATTTTAACTAGGAATTCGAGAAACCAAGATTGTTGTCAGAACTGTAATGTGATCTTTAATACATTAAAAAATATCGAACTGAACTACGAATGTTTACGCAACTTGAAAGTTAAACTTGAAGAGTTATCTTGGACTCAAGCTTGAAGTGTTACTCAAAATGTAACTATAACTTGAAAATTAGCCAGACTTAAGTGTGTAAATAATTTAGTGTTTTTTTTCAGTCTTTGCAGCCATTAGTAAAAACAATTGCAGACCACTGTAATGGGAGCACGACAGTTTTATGCTGTTACGAAGAAAGAACAACGGGAAACAAACCGGAACTGGAAAGAAAATTTTTTGAGGTCAGTGAAATATTAACGAGCTCACAATTTGTTTCAAATATAACACTCTTTTTGGCTTTCTTTTAACATTTGATAACTGCTTCATTTTATAGTGTTCACGACAGTTTCATGTATATTCAGTTGAAAAAAAAGACATTGGGTAGATACTCAGAGACAATACCAGATAAAGTATCGACAAAAAAATTGTTCAAAAGAGTCCATAGGGGCAAAAACCGTGTCACCTCAAACTCTCACACAAAAGAAGTAACAAGTAACAACGAGCATATTATATTGGAAATACATAGAGGACATAATAACACCTTATCCCAAAGAAGACAAGCCAAACTGCATGAAACGTTTCTGGACATTCATTAAGCACAAAAAGATCAGTCGGAAACCAAACAATGGAATACTCCATCCTGACTCAGTTGAAAAGGCTAACATACTAAATAAGCAGTTCCAATCAGCTTTTTCTGAAAAAACCAACTTCACAGAAATAGAATTCAAAAACCGTTGTGACATGACCAACAACAACTACCCTACACTTCAAGACCTGAATATAATAGAAAACGGAATAGCAAAACTATTATCCAACCTAAACCCATTTAAAGCTGCGGGTCCATACACCATTACATCAAGGGTGCTGAAGGAATTAGCCATAGACATTGCACCAATCCTAACAACCATCTTCAGGCGATCCTATGAAACAGATGATTTACCGGATATATGGAAAAAGGCTAACGTAAGCCCAATATTCAAGAAGGGAAAACGGTTTGATGCAGTAAAATACCGCCCAGTCTCGCTTACCTGCATTTGCTGCAAAATCATGGAGCACATCGTAACAAGCCACATAATGACCCATGCTGACAAACACAACATACTGTATCCACTACAACACGGATTCAGGAGAGGCCTGTCCTGCGAAACACATTTAATTAAGTTTATTAATGATATAACCATAAACATGGACGCAGGAAAACAAACCGACTGCCTTATAATGGATTTTTCTAAGGCCTTTGATAAAGTAAGTCATAGCCTACTTACACACAAACTGGATCAATATGGCATAAGAGGGAAAACCAATAGGTGGATCAAAAACTTCCTCGCCGACAGGAAACAAGTCGTAGTTGTAGAAGGGGAAAAATCTGATACAATCAACGTCGATTCGGGCGTCCCACAAGGATCAGTTCTTGGACCCAGTTTGTTCCTTTTCTACATAAACGACATGCCAGAGGGAATCCGATCAAGGGTAAGACTCTTTGCTGATGATACAATCATATATCTCACAATATCATCGGACACAGACAGCGACAAACTTCAGGAAGATCTGAATAAATTGGCAATTTGGGAAAACAAATGGAAAATGGCATTTCATCCAGATAAATGTAATGTTCTTATCATAACAAGAAAACGTAAACCTATTATAAAAGAATATGTACTGCATGGCCACACCCTCGAATCTCTAAATTCTGCAAAGTACCTTGGCTGCACCATCAGCTCCGACTTAAAATGGAATGAACACATCAAAACATATGTGTCAAGGCAAACAAGACCATAGGCTTCCTCAAACGTAACTTGAACATCAATAACAACACAATAAAAGGAAACTGCATACAAGTCACTTGTAAGACCGACTCTAGAATATGCATGTACAGTCTGGGATCCTTATCAACAAAACAACAAAAACCGACTGGAAATGGTACAGAGGAGAGCAGCCAGATATGTCACTAACAAATATCATAACACATCATCTGTTAGTGACATGCTTAACAAATTAGAATGGAAAACCCTCGAAGACCGTAGGAGAACATCAAGGCTTACAATGATGTATAAACTTGCCAACGGGATGGTGAAAGTTGACACAAATGGATACCAAATACCATCTTGTAGGACCGAAGTGCGGAAGGAATCTTTTTACCCAAGATACCGATACCAGACTGGAATGCCCTACCACATACTGCCACCAATACAGGTAGTCTTGAATGCTTCAAGACTACCTGCATGAGATGAACTAGATCAACGCCAAGATGTTTTTAAATTCACTGTATATATGTATAGCACAATTCAAATCAATTCAATATTAATTTTTTGTCTAAATTTTAAATGCGCATCCAAAAAGTGGCAAAATAATCAACTTATTGATGGTGGCCGCGTATTGGTAGAAGTAGAAGTAGAAGTTTATAAATATGCGTCAGAATATGAAATTAAACACGAATCATTATACACATACGAAGACACTCAGGCTCACCTCAACATGCTCAAGGGAAATGCAAACCTATGATGAGTTCAGTGTGCGCCACGACACATGTATCTGGAATACTCATCTCACGAAGAGAAATTTTCATCTGTTGAACTTTAATGCTGGCATAGTTTCAGATATGAAACTTGTCTATTTTCATATTTTAGTGGAAAGTGAAAGGTTTAGTGCCGATCATCGTGAATGTTTGCAAGTAATTAAGCAGATGACACAATTTTTTAAACGTAATGACTCATAAAGCGATTTTATAGTTTATCCTTAAACTGTTGAATATACTTAGGCATCATGCTGCTAAAAATCTGTCGCTTAAAAAGCAAAAAAAGCAAAATTTATAGGTTTAAACTTTAGTTTTAATCTTTAGTGAAGTTAACATATTTCTGACGATGAGTTAAACCTGGGATTAATACATGAATTAGCTATTGGTTTCAGGTTAAATCTAGTTTGATGTATAATTATATAAGTAAATAATGGCGAACAAGTCTCTGACATTTCATTTCTAACTGGACTGGACGCTAAGCAAGCAATAATCAACCAATTGATAATTTCAAACTACTATATATAGGTACATTGTAGTTGAGGAGATGAGAGGCATATATTTTTGTTGATTAACCTAAACGTCCAGTGATGATTTGCCTTGTCCTTAAAGGAGAACAAGAACAGTATTTTAACAGTATTTAAATGGATCGGGAAAAACATAATTCATATATCTTTTGTACTTATTAATTTAATTCTCAAAGATTTCATTTTCAGTTGATGACAGAAAAATTCCACATTGAAGAGATTCCTCTTTACAGACAGGATCCTCAGTTTAGGAGTAAAGATATATACATAATGAAATTTAAATTAAAGAATCCGTGAAATGTATATTTCGGAAATCTTGAACAGTAAAACACGGATTGGCCATTGCCATCTGACTTTAAATGGAAGAAATCGTCGACTTTGTTATAAAACCAAATCGTCGGACACTTTCACTATTTATATCTTCTATAATGTTTTTGTCAACTAATAAGCATCGAGATATACTGAGTGTCCTATTCTGTTTTAGCAATCTTGAATCTATCCCCTATCAAAGTAGAAATATTGTTGTTAATTAATGCTAATAAGAACAGCAGATTATTTGAGCGCTGTAATGTACTGTATGTAGCAAGTGCCGCATCATAGTGTCAATAAATAATAAATAGCTCCTGCATTGTCGTTGCATCTAGGATATTAATTAATTTGATGAAAACTTAATAGAAATTGCATCATTGGTATGTGTAGTGAAGTACATAATTGCATATCATACAGATAAAACACAAAAAGATAGGCAGTGTTGTTGAGGGAACTGTACAATGTAGCAGATGATATACAAATTAACTTTGAAGGTTGTAAAAATATCGTATAGGTAAAACTTGCAGTGTTGTCAGCGGTGTAGGAGTAGACTGCAAAGTGTGGCCGAAAGGGGGAAGGGGGGGGGGGGGGGGGCTTCTGAAAGCGATGAGCAAAAAAAAACAAAACTTCTAAAGTCTAATACTGTAGAAGTTAGTCTGTGTCCTCTTTTATTCTATAAATTTTCACTATTATTTGCCGCCTTTGCCCCCCCCCCCCCTTTTTCCTCCGCCAATGATTATGTAGTTCATAATTTGTCACAAGGATAAACACTCAAAAGCTCTGCAATGTTTTTGTGTTTATTGTGATAATAATGTACGTTATTGATTTGTTGGTGTTATCAGCCCCAGTAGCAGGAAAGCCTACACCAGGCCATAAACAATGAAATGGATGGCATAGAATGAATATGAAGTTAAAAGTGAGGTTGCACGGGTATCCGGATGGGGCACAAAGGGGAACGATTTTCGATTGCGTCAGGAAATATGTTGAGGGTTGGGTAGATACGAAAAATTTAGCTATCGCAACAGCAGACGGTCAACTTTTAAAGAACTATCCTGGAAGCATTGTTTTCGTGCTTGGTCGTGGTACTCTTCAACCACGAGAACATTAGACTGAGCATATGCGATACAAGACGCGACGTCCATACTGCCATGTAGTCCATAGGATGTATCGTCCATACCTTGAAAAGATTTATCGGCCATAGGACAACAGCGTCCATATTTTGTGAAGACACCGCGTCGTTCATTTTTTTTTGTTCGGAAATAAATTTTATTTATAAAGTATTGTGATATATAAATGTAGATGGTTATTATAACTCTAAATGTATAATGCGGCTGCTGTATTTACATTATTTGTCATGTTTTTATATGTTATACACTTGGAATACGCATTATATATTCATATATAAATGTGCTGTATCTAATAAAATATTTATTTTTTTTTCTACCGGCAGACACTTTGTGTGTCGGTATTTGATACATCACGCACAACAGTGTACATCCCTTACAGAGGGTTTGTTACCGGCAGTAGTACAAAATAGGTTCTAAAGGTATGGTCAATTTGCTGATATTGTTTTACTCAGATGGTGAAAAAAATATATGATGAAATTTAGTGATCTTTGAAATAGCGATATGCTTTAAAGATTTTTTATGATTTTTATATACATTTATAAAAGTTGAAATGTTATTATCTCATATACTAGTATATAATTTGCTGGATGTTGAAGAGAATCGTGATACATTACAATCTCATTAAATACAGATCCTGTGTACATGCTTTGCTTACAAGGATCTGAGAACACTCCGTCATACTTTCTGTTTTAAGTGTGTAACCAGGAGATCCCGAAAAGTACTTAAAGCGTGGACAAAAGGAGCTGTATTTCAATCAGATTGGATACATAAACTCATCATAGACACCAGGATGAATATTTAAACGCCAGACGCGCGTTTCGTCTATAAAAGACTCATCAGTGACGCTCGAATCAAATAAGTTAAAAATGCCAAAAAAGTACGAAGTTGAATAGCATTGAAAACCCTAAATTCCGAAAGGTTTTGTCAATTACAGCTAATGTAATCTATTCGTGGGGTAGAAAATCCTTGGTATTTCGAAAAATTAAAAGTTTTATAATTACGACCATTTCAATGATAATTCATGTCGGATTGCAAATTATACAGTTTCCTATAAAATTTGCATTAAAGTAATTTATTACACAATTTTACTTCAGATATAATTTTTTTATGTATGCACTGTGACTACTATAAGGTGTTATAGTAGTCTCAGGTATGGATGTCTTTCGTTATTTTATTTTTTTAATAAATTCTAAAACAAATTCTAAACCTATTGAAATCGCAGTTTTTGTCTACCATATTTATGCATTCATAATTTATAAATTTATTACATTAAAAAAAACATGGCCACACAACATGCTGCTTTTAGAACCTCGATATAAACACTGACATAACGCTGTTATACTGAGAAAGGTCTAAATATCTTTTGCAAAATTGAAAATTATTATTTTGAAAGCACTTTACATATATATACTATAGCGTAGAATTTATCATAGAGATATTCACTATAAGGCTCTGCGTCGTGGTCATTCGGGTTATATTAAAATTTGGTCTTTGGCAATTCATAATTTTACCAATCTTATTAAAATATAGATCTCTGATTTCGTTATGCTCATATGAATAAACGAGTAACAATAGATCTGAATTTTAATCAGATTGTAAATACGATAAGAACCCTAATTATGAATTACCAAAGACAAAACATTAATAAAACATATGTAATGTATACTAAAATCGTGTGAGGGTGGTATACACCCAAAGATCAAAGAGAAATAACAAATAAAATATGGAATTATAAAATTTTAAAAGAATCAGAAGTGCAGTGCTCTACTGTACTGTGTACATTGTAGTACAGTGCTCTGCTGTACTGTGTACATTGTAGTACAGTGCTCTGCTGTACTGTGTACATTGTAGTACAGTGCTCTGCTATACTGTGTACATTGTAGTACAGTGCTCTGCTGTACTGTGTACATTGTAGTACAGTGCTCTGTTGTAATGTGTACATTGCAGTACAGTGCTCATCTGTACTGTGTACATTGTAGTACAGTTCTCTGCTGTACTGTGTACATTGTAGTACAGTTCTCTGATGTACTGTGTACATTGTAGTACAGTGCTCTGCTGTACTGTGTACATTGTAGTACAATGCTCCTCTGCACTGTGTGCATTGTAGTACAGTGCTCCTCTGTACTGTGTACATTGTAATACATTACTCTGCTGTACTGTGTACATTGTAGTACAGTGCTCTGCTGTACTGTGTACATTGCAGCACAGTGCTCCTCTGTACTGTGTACATTGTAGTACAGTTCTCTGCTGTACTGTGTACATTGTAGTACAGTGCTCCTCTGTACTGTGTACATTGTAGTACAGTGCTCCTCTTAACTGTGTACATTGTAGTACAGTGCTCTGCTGTACTGTGTACATTGTAGTACAGTGCTCTGCTGTACTGTGTACATTGTAGTAAAGTGCTCTGCTGTACTGTGTACATTGTAGTACAGTTCTCTGCTGTACTGTGTATATTGTAGTACAGTTCTCTGCTGTACTGTGTACATTGTAGTACAGTGCTCTGCTGTACTGTGTACATTGTAGTACAGTTCTCTGCTGTACTGTGTACATTGTAGTACAGTGCTCTGCTATACTGTATACATTGTAAAAATTATCAATAACACACTATTTCAACAGAGACAAATAAACACTGGACACTTTTAATTTGCAAAACACTCATTTGCAAATCCGCCGCCGCCTCTCCTTAGACCTACAGTGTCGTGTAAATAACCAAAATGTGCGGAATTACATGGGATTCAATAATTTCATTGCTTTTCTGCTGTTATTATTATATATATTTTGTAATTTGATTTAGAAAAACATGGGATTTTCAATATCCCATGGGATAAGGCAAATCCCATGGGATTGACCATTATCCCATGGGATTTTGGTTAAATCCCATGGGATTTTTTTGGGTCCCATGGGATAATTGTAGTCCCATGGGATATTTGTTGTCCCATGGGACAAAAAAAATCCCATGGGACTATAATTATCCCATGGGATTTTTAATATCCCATGGGACAAAATAAAATCCTATGGAATTCAAATTATAAATATACAGTAATGTGTATGTTACAATGAATTCTGTTTGGTAGTAAAAAGTTTATAATATATATATGAGTGTATTTTTGGTTTTTTTCATTTTGTCACAAACATGTTTTTAATTTGTTTATATGACAATAAAGATTATTATTATTTTGGAAATATAATAATATTTAAAGTCAAAAAATAAAATCCTTTAACTGAAATAAAATGATGACGTCTTAATAAAAGAAAAAAATATTGATTTGAAATCTTTGTCTTCTTTGTTTTATTATGAAAAATAGAACTGAAAAAAATATTTCATATTCTGACTGAATAAATTGACAAAGCACAGTTAATAGTTTACTCTTTTCATGAGGTAAAGTTTTCTTTGTTATAGTTCCATTGCAATACATGAATATGCAAATGATTTGAATCTTATTCCTTTGTGGTGTTCATAATATTACATTTATATTTGTAAATTTATAAAATAAAGACTTTTCCTGTTAAGTTTTAGTTTTCTTGTTTCAGCTTGCTATGAACAATTATTCAGTCCACTATATAAGAGTCAAGTAAATAAATTATTTCATCCACTAGAATATTCCTACAATTCTAAGACAAAACATTTATGCAATCTGTTCTTCAAAAATCTTCCTCCGTACATCTTTATTGGATGGAGCGATTTAAATGAGTGGACAAAGCAAGTTCATTTGGACAACAAAATACTAATATATTTTTTCATTCCTCCCTTCTTTCAATTGATAATTACGTTGTTGCATTTACATGATTAATTAAGTTCTTGAGCATCTATGATCATGATGATATGACTCCTTTTTGTTTATAGTAATTATGTTGAAATTTCCTCTTTCTTATGTAGGAAAAAAAACACATTCCATTTCAAATTAATAAAAAAGTCACACTATGTAGAAAAATATCAACTTTAAGTTTGCTGTTCAGTATTGACCTGTTGAATGATGATCATGAAAACCAAGATGTCTGACCTACAAATACACAAAACTCAAAAATTATAAATGAAGAGAAATACAGCAATAAAATGGCTATTTTATCATATTTATGTACATTTTGATAAAAATTTCATTTGAATATTTAAAATTGTAAGAACTCTTATTTCAGTGCTTTGTGTCTATGGTTTTCATATTAGTTGTTTTTTGTGTCTTGTTGCAGT